GCCAGTCACAGTCCAGCTGGCTCGGACTCTCTGGTCAGTCACAAGATTTTATCATCATTCCTTTCTATTCCTTGCAAGACTTCTGATGAAATCCTTTCTTCTATTCTTTTAGTATAGTTTTAATATAATATATATAATAAAATAATAAATCACCTTTCTGAAACATGGAGTCAGATCCTCCTCTCTTCCCTCATCCTGGGTCCCCTGCAAACACCACCACAATTGGTGACCTCAAGTGATGAAAAATTCAAACACTGGTGTTATCTTTTTATCCTAAAATCTACATGTACAATGTTTGCAATTATTTCTCAATACCTACCACGTATGTTAGACAGTGAGCTTCTACTCTAAACCAATCCAAAAGTGCCCCCATCACAGCAGAAGATGGAGGCCAAGAACAAGAAGGAGAAAGGCTGAACATGCCCAGATCCCTCCATCTTGCCCCTTGAATTCCCAGTCTAAAAACCCCAAAAATCTATTTTTCACCCTATGATAAATTCACTATCATTCTACTTAAACTTTCTTGACCTGCAATTCTTCATATAAAGGTTGGTGATTGTTTATTCCAGGGCTAAATCCAAGGCACAAGGGTCTGGGGCTGTGTGCCAAGGTCTCTGAGCCCCCTGGCCAGGGGCTTGAGTCCTCCAGGGCAGCCAGAGGAATTTCCTGGGTTCCAACATGTGCAGAGCAAAAAATTCCTTTATTTTGGCATGATTTTACTGCAAGAGCAGGAAAAACTGGTCCCTATCCAGCAATTCCTGCATGTAAATAATGCACTTTTTTTGAAGTTCAGGGTGGGGGATATGAAGAGATTAAAGGAGAGGAGGAAACTTTCAGTGCTCAAAGGACTTTGGATATTCAGATAAAATTTTAGATTTTTCTCTACTTACCTTAACCTGTCTCTGCTTTAAACTATAAATCCACATTTTCACTTGGAACACCTAAGTTTGGGAGATTTTTCCAAGGTCTAAAATCAAATCCTGGGTTTAATTCTGAGCTTTGGCTTCCAGGCTCAAAGTTCTGAGAGTTCTTTACATTTCAGATTCCAACACCATCCCCCATAAATTAGAATATTTCAATCAGAGAATATATTCAGAATATTTGGAGCTGTTTTATGAGGGTTCTGCTGCCCTCAGAGTGGGACTGGCAGTGTAGGAGTCTCACACCTCCTGTTCCTGGTTTTGTAACCACACAATAAAAATTCTCTGAGTGACAAGGCAGAGCTGGGATTCCTCCCACCTCCTGCAAATTGGCTTTGAGGTGGAGAGAACAGGAGGATTTTTTTCTCTCATACATTTCCATTTCTAATTAAATGTATTTGGGCTTTTTTTCCCTTTGATCTCAAAATTCAGGCCCTGTTGGAAACGCTAAAAAATGTAGAAAAGTTAAAATAAAAAAAAAGCCACAGTTCTTTATTTACCATAATTTTTTAAAATGGGATCTCAGCAAATGAGATTTAAAAATGGGATCTCTGAAATGCAAAGAAAGAAAATCTTTGGAATCTGAAATCTGAGAAAATCTTTGGAATCTGAAATGCAGCTGCTGGAGAAAATTCTGGACAAAACCAATTCCTGGCTAAAAGGAACAATTGCAACAGGAAAAGCTGCTTGCACTGAGGAATTCTGTGAGCAGAAATAAACTCCTGTGAAAGAACCTCCCTAAAAGGATGGTTATTTAATCAAAACCACACAAGTGCTAGCTCAAGGCAGGCTGGGTGCTTGTGGAGGCATGCAGACAGAGGGAAATAAATGTCATCATTTTATTCTGGTGTTTGGAGGAGGCTGGAGCTCCTCCTTCAAACCCTGGAGGATGGAATTTAAATTTCTCCTGGTGGTTTATGGCACTGGAGCAATTCCTGGGATTGTTTGTGCAAATCTTTGTGGCAACACTTTATTTTTTCGGAGACAAATCTGGTTTTTGCAAATCTTTGTGGCAGCGTTTTATTTTTTGGAGACAAATCTCGAAGCACTCAGAACCCCAATTTGGGCCCAATGCAAATTCCAGGAACTCTCATTTCTCCTTCTGTGCTCTGAGCCAGGGCAGGGAGGGCTGAGAGCCAGAGGCCAAAAATCCCCAGAGCACCAACTTTCCTTAAAGTAAATAAAGACATTTGTGGTCCCAAATCTATCCTGGGTTTTTTGGCTGCCCTGGCTCCTTTCTCCTCACTGAATTCCAAAGGCAGAGAGGCAAAACAGCAGGAGAAAAATTCCCTTGTAAGGAGAGCTCTCCTCTCAAGCAGCACCTGTAAGGGTGGTGGCTCTGAGCAGGGTTTTTCCTGCAGGATTTTGCATTTTGCATTTTGGATTTTGGGAGAGTCACACCCAGTCCGGAGAACACTTTTGGGAGAGCTGCAGGAGCTCAGGGAAGCTCCATTTCCTTCCCTGGCAGGCAGAATTTGCTCTCTGTGCCCTCCTCTCTGCCCCCAGGCTCTGTGGGTGGCGATTTTGGGTTTGGAGAAACAGGGAATTTTCTCCTGCTGCCTTTGGAGGAAAACAGGGGAGCTCAGGTGCCCGGGAGCTCCTTTTTGGCTGTTTTGGGGTTGGTGGGAGATGGGTGGACACTCATGGGGAATGGCTTTTGGGGCTGAGAGGGTTCTGCTGGGTTCGCTCCCACCCCACCCCTCGCATGTTGGGATTTTCCTGGATTTTCCTGGCTGCACAAAGTCCTGCAGGTCCTGAGGGAAGGGACCTCCTTGAAAGCATCTCCATCTGCTCTAGGAGCTGTTTGGGGGCAACAGAGGGGAGCGCTTTCCTCTCACTTGGGAATTTTGGTATCCCTGTCCCCCATGTCCTACAGCACCTTCCCGTGGGAAAGCTTTGGAATGTTGGTGTCCCTGTCAATGGAAAACCTTTGGAATTTGTGTCCCTGTCACCTGTCCCTTGTGCCCCACAGCATCCTCAGTGTCCAGCTCCTTGCAGTGCAAAGTCTTTGGAATTTCTGTGTCCCTGTCAATGGAAAACCTTTGGAATTTGTGTCCCTGTCACCTGTCCCTTGTGCCCCACAGCATCCTCAGTGTCCAGCTCCTTCCAGTGCAAAGTCTTTGGAATTTCTGTGTCCCTGTCAATGGAAAACCTTTGGAATTTGTGTCCTTGTCAATGGAAAACCTTGGGAATTTCAGTGTCCCTGTCACCTTTCCCCTCTGTCCCACAGCATCCTCAGTGCCCAGCGGGTTTCCAGCACCTTCCATGCCCGTTTCTGTGCCCTCTCCAGGACCTACATCTACCGCCTGCTGCTGGGCTGTGCCCACCGCTCCCAAATCCCTGTCTTCGAGCAGGATCTGTGCTGGGCTCCCCCAGGAGGGTGAGTGCAGCTCCCTGGGGAGGCTCCTCTGCAAGGAAATTAGGGAATCAGGGCTGGGAGGGGAAAAAAATGGGATTTTTTTGCTCTGAACAAGTCCCTGACAGGAGGGGACGGCCCCAGGTTGGGCTCTGGGACAGGAGGAGAGGGAATGGTCTCAGGCTGGGGTTTAAGTTGGACATCAGGAGGGTTTAAGGGTTCCAGGAGAGCTGTAGGAGGAATTTCCCCTGCTAAAGAGTTGTTAGATGTGGGAATTGCTGCCGAGGGAGGTTTGGAGTGCCGATCCCAAAAAAACCCAAACAAAGTTGAAATAGAATTTGGGCAGGGTTTTGGGTTGCTCATTTTGCTCAGACTGGAAACCAGTCAGGACCTGGAAGCCCAAACCCTTTTCTGGATGTTGGAGCAGTCACAGAGGACAGGGAGATGGGTCAGAGGTCTGATTTCCTGCCTTAAAAGGAGTTTGGGGTTTGAGCCTGGTGTAATTTCTTGGGGTTTGAGGCTGGCTTAATTTATTGGGGTTTGAGCCTGGCATAATTTATTGGGGTTTGATCCTGGTGTAATTTATTAGTGTTTGAGCCTGGTGTAACTCATTGGAGCTTAAACCTGGTGTAATTTATTAGTGTTTGAGCCTGGCATAATTCCTTGGTGTTTGAGCCTGGTGTAGTTCTCTGGGGTTTGAGCCTGGCATAATTTACTGGGGTTTGAGCCTGGCATAACTCCATGGGCCCTGAGCCTGCTGTAGCTCCCTGGTGTTCCAGCCCGGCTCAATGCCAGGCTCTGAGCTCGAAGCGC